CAATAAAGAATTTGATATTATTTACTTAGATTTAGTAAGGCTTTTGATAGAGTTCCGCACCATAGACTGTTAAAGAAAGTGGCAGCTCATGGCATTGGGGGAAAAGTGCTCTCGTGGATCGAGTCATGGCTCACTGACAGGAAGCAGAGAGTGTCCATAAATGGGGTTAAATCTGAGTGGGGATCTGTAACAAGTGGCGTTCCACAGGGATCAGTCTTGGGCCCGTTGTTGTTTATAATATATATCAATGATTTTGATGAGGGGAAATTTCTAGTGATATGAGCAAATTCGCCAATGACACAAAGATAGGTAGGATAATTGATTCAAACGTAGATGTTATGGAACTTCAGGAGGATTTAAACAAACTCTATTCTTGGTCAGAAAAGTGGCAGATGCAGTTTTAATGTAGATAAATGCAAGGTTCTGAAAACTTGGGAGTGCCCATAACCCTAGTACTTTAAGTTAAATGATGTAGAACTTAGCCATACAGATTGCAAAAAGACTTGGGGGTTATGGTGAGCAGGGAACTTAAACCAAGACAGCAATGCCTAACGTACGTATAAGGCAAATAGATTACTGGATTTATATCAAAAAGTGTAAGCAACAGAAGTCCAGAGGGCATACTGCAGCTTTATACATCATTTAGTAAGGCCTCACCTAGATTATGCAGCTCAGTTTGGTCTCCGTATTTCAAAATGGACATAAATTCGTTAGAAAACATTCAGCGTAGGATGACTAAATTAATACATACATTTAGAAATCTTCCTTATGAAAAAAGATTGAAGACTCTTAAGTTACATTCACTTGTTAGACGAAGAATGAGGGGAGACCTGATCGAAGTGTAAAGTGGAAGATAGGTATTAATAAAGGGGGTATTAATAAGGTCTTGAGGATGTCTCTCCAAGAGAGAACCCGCAGTAATGATTTAAATTAGATAAGTTTAGATTTAGAAAGGACATAGGAAAGTATTGGTTTGGAAATAGGGTAGTTGATGAGTAGAACAGTTTACCTAGTTGGGTTATTGAGGCTGGGACTTTGGGTAGTTTCAAATCTAGGTTGGATAAGTACATGAGTGGGAGGGGTTGGATTTGAGTGGGACTTTCACATCAGAGCTTATTTCTTGGGTGGCATTGAAAATTGGGTTGGGCAAATGTTTGTTAGTGGGGTGAATTGTAAAGGACCTGCCTAGTATGGGCCAGCAGGCCTCCTGCAGTGTTCCTCCTTTCTTATGTTATGTTCTTATGTTCTTATATGGAATAGGTGGTAAGTTACTAAATGCTGTAAAGAGCTTTTATGAGGATAGTGAGGCTCAGGTTAGGGTGTGTAGAAGAGAGGGAGAATACTTCCCGGTAAAAGTAGGTCTTAGACAGGGATGTGTAATGTCACCATGGTTGTTTAATATATTTATAGATGGGGTTGTAAAAGAAGTAAATGCTAGGGTGTTCGGGAGAGGGGTGGGATTAAATTATGGGGAATTAAATACTGTACAAAATGGGAATTGACACAGTTACTTTTTGCTGATGATACTGTGCTTATGGGAGATTCTAAAGAAAAATTGCAAAGGTTAGTGGATGAGTTTGAGAATGTGTGTAAAGGTAGAAAGTTGAAAGTGAACATAGAAAAGAGTAAGGTGATGAGGGTATCAAATGATTTAGATAAAGAAAAATTGGATATCAAATTGGGGAGGAGGAGTATGGAAGAAGTGAATGTTTTCAGATACTTGGGAGTTGACGTGTCGGCAGATGATTTATGAAGGATGAGGTTAATCATAGAATTGATGAGGGAAAAAAGGTGAGTGGTGCGTTGAGGTATATGTGGAGTCAAAAAAACGTTATCTATGGAGGCAAAGAAGGGAATGTATGAAAGTATAGTAGTACCAACACTCTTATATGGATGTGAAGCTTGGGTGGTAAATGCAGCAGCGAGGAGACGGTTGGAGGCAGTGGAGATGTCCTGTCTAAGGGCAATGTGTGTAAATATTATGCAGAAAATTCGGAGTGTGGAAATTAGGAGAAGGTGTGTAGTTAATAAAAGCATTAGTCAGAGGACAGAAGAGGGGTTGTTGAGGTGGTTTGGTCATTTAGAGAGAATGGATCAAAGTAGAATGACATGGAAAGCATATAAATCTATAGGGGAAGGAAGGAGGGGTAGGGGTCGTCCTCGAAAGGGTTGGAAAGAGGGGGTAAAGGAAGTTTTGTGGGCTAGGGGCTTGGATTTCCAGCAAGTGTGCATGAGTGTGTTAGATAGGAGCGAATGGAGGCGAATGATACTTGGGACCTGACGATCTGTTGGAGTGTGAGCAGGTAATATTTAGTGAAGGATTCAGGGAAACAGGTTATTTTCATATAGTCGGACTTGAGTCCTGGAAATGGGAAGTACAATGCCTGCACTTTAAAGGAGGGGTTTGGGATATTATCAGTTTGGAGGGATATGTTGTGTATCTTTATACGTATATGCTTCTAAGCTGTTGTATTCTGAGCACCTCTGCAAAAGCAGTGATAATGTGTGAGTGTGGTGAAAGTGTTGAATGGTGATGAAAGTATTTTCTTTTTGGGGATTTTCTTTTCTTTTTTGGTCACCCTGCCTCGGTGGGAGACGGCCGACTTGTTGAAAAAAAAAAAAAAAATAAGCTTTACTGATATTCCTTATTGCAATAATTGTATAAATAATGTCAACCCATTCACGACTGCATATTGGAATGGACAGTGACGTCATTTGTTTACTCTGAAACAGCAAAGCAATGGACAATTTCTCCCAAGTTGAGCTCTATTTCAAGGTACTTTTTGTCGTGAAAGCAATTAAAATCATATCTATTTCTGTAATATATCTTCCCTTCTATCAAATGAGACCAAAAAAAACGAGAATACAACCATCAAAACCATTTGAAATTACCGCTAAGAGGTGGCTAATTGCTGAAAAGTGAACTCCATTATTTATGCTTAGATTTCTTTCATTTTTGGTGTACGTTAAGAAGCATCTTTCCATCATACATTGCCCAAGTTTCAATAAGATAGTCCAACAAACAAATGAGATACAATTCCCGAGATCAAGAGCAAGAGCCCCTCACCAGTGTCAAGGAACCTGCCTTGAGGTCTGCTAGCTTGTGGAAATTTTGCTCGCGTATGGAAGCAAAAAATTGACCCATCGACTGCTCGTATTTGGAAAAACTCGCACTTGGACACACTCGCAAGTAGAGGTTCCACTGTATTCCTTTGGCACTTCTATTTTTTCATCAGCTTACAGTTCTTACTTCTAGTTCTTACTGTGGATGGTGCTATGAATTCTTTCCATTTTTATAATACTTGGCCATCTCACACCAAGGTGCAGTGAAACCCCCATTCCCCCCCTTCCCCCCCACACACACAAAAAAAAAAGACCATCATTCACTTTATCACTGTCTTGCCAAAAGCATCTTCACATTATACTTCAGATGGCCCTCTAAACTGTAACATTTTCACCCCTCCTTCAGAGTGCAGGCACTGTACTCCCCTCCTTGCAAGACTCAGGTTTGGCTGACCAGTTTCCTTGAATCCCTTCATTAATATTACCTTGCTCACACTCCAACAGCACGTCTAATCACAAAAACTGCTTGTTCCTACTTGGCTTGATCTAACTTGCTTACGTAAGCCTGTTGGACGCTCAAGCCCCTATCACTCAAAAAAACCTCTATTACCACCTCCTTCCAACTCCTGGGATGATCCCCTACCTGTCCTTCCGTCCATCCCAAAATACTAACCAAATTTAAAGAGTGGAGAAAAATGCAGGCGTGGAAGATTAGAGCTATAAAGGTTGAGTTAACATACTTTGTTATGGGACTCTCAGCCTGACTTACATATGCAGAAGACAACAGCCATATGTTACTACAGACAGATGAAACATTAAGGAATCAGTTTGTTCATTAACCCGGATTTTAGCTGTGGTTGCATTTATTCTTTTCTGCCATGCAGCACCTAGTATATTTTGAATGAAGGGAAAGAGTAGGGATCATACCAGGAAAAGTCAAAGGGGAAACTAAAGAAGGTCTTGTGTGCTAAGGGTCATCCAAGGAAGAGTTGAAGGGAGGGGATGAAGAAGGTCTTGAGTGCTAGTTGTTGTCCCAGGAGGGGTTGGAGGGAGGAGGGCAACAATTTTAAGTGCTAGGGGCTTGAACATCCAACAGGCTTGTGTGAATGAGTTAGATCAGGGCGAGTGGAGACAAGTGATGTTTATGATGTGTTGCACATCAAGAAAGAATAAATGGCCAAATCTGGGTTAGTGAACGGATCAATTGCTTAATGTTTTTCTGTTTGTGGTAATGTGTATTGTCTTCTGCATCTGTAAATTAGCCTTAAGAGCCCCATAACTAAGTATTGTAACTTGAACTTCATAGTGAATTTGGTGGCTATTCATTCCTGCCATATATCACCTTAGATACCCTTCCTGAAAAATATTCAGAATTATAGTTATTATGTATCTTGTATGTGGTTACCATTTTTCTTGTATGTGGTTAACATGTTTTTTGTGTGTGGTTATCACATTTCTTGTACAGTGCTCATCATTAAATTATGCCAGCTTTTCTGAAACCACAACTACAAAATAGGGCATCCTTCAACTGTCTAAGAAGTGATTAACACATTCCTCAGGGTTTCATGGGGTAAATTTCCCTGTGACTTGCAGATAGCATCCTTAAGCCTTGAGAGTGGCTGATAGCCTTCCCATAGTATATCTCTATCAAAGCCCAGAGGTCTCAGTGGGGTTTAAGCTTGGGAAATATCCAGGCCAATCATCTAAGAAGGGTACCTCACAGGAACAAGGCAGCTGAAAGACAGGTTTTGCACTGCCTTACAGAAAAACTTTGTACCATACTACATGAAAGATTTAGGTAAATGATAGAGCAATTCTAGGTAGGTTACTACAGTTATTGTTAGTGGAGACATTTTTTGAGGCTTCCCTGGACTGATTTTGGTGTGGGCATGTCATTAGCAGTGTCTGCAAGGGACTGATGGAACAAGGTCATCACTGATTATTTAATTTTGTTTACAGGAATTACAAGCTAAGGTACAGATGTTAGAGGAGCACAACAAGAAATTATCACAGTTACTCTCAAGAAGTCCTGTGCCACATAAAATGTTTGAAACACAAAAGTTGGAGACAAAGAAAACTATTGCATGGTGAGCTTATAATTGACATTTGCAACCTTGCCTTATAAGAAACTGAAATGGTGAAAAACTGTTTATTGCAATATTTAATACAAGTACTGTAGTGTACTATTCATATCATATGGATGGCAAAATTTTATTTTTTTTTACCAAATAAAGACAGTTTTACTGTCTTTTAATTATTTGCCATATAAAGGTAGCAAAATTGAATTTTTTTATCACATGAAAAAAAGCAAAAGTATATTGTATTTAATTTTTTTACATACAGCCAAACTGTATTTTCATTTTTAATTTCACATTGGCCTTGTCCCACCAATATAATTTTAAAATGAACATGTATATTGTTCAGTGTTCCCCCTTGAACAAGTGACTGACTCCTTTAATTAGTTCAGTACTTGTAGCTCAAATTTCATGTTAGAAAATGTCTCAAACCACTCTTGAAACATTGAAATAGGCAATAGAAGCAGTTTAATCTTGTTCTTTTACAATTGATAATATTTTTAATTTTTTTCAATTGAATGTGAAAAGTCCATTGCCCCTCTGTTTCTACAGTTATCCCAAAAGACAAATTCTGCTGAAAATTGCTTACCTGGGCTGGAACTACCAGAGCTCTGCTTCACATAGTGATATACAGAAGATGGTTGAAGATAAACTGTTGCAGGCTCTCTTAAAAGTTTCCTTAATTGATGCTCCTGACTCTGCAAAGTTCCACAGGTAGTTTTTTTTTTTTAAGTTTTTAAAACACTACCACAGTGTTGTCATATACTGTGTGTCACCATTGACCAGTGTATTAATCAGGGCAATGTGTGGTTATGCACATTTTGTGTATGTATACACACATATTTAAAGGTGCATGTATTTTCTACTTTTTTTTTTAATGGCCATTTCCCACTGAGGCAGGGTGACCCAAAAAGAAAGAAAAAACCTAAAAGAAAGAAAAAACTTTCATCATCATTCAACACTTTCACCATCACTCATACATAATCACTGTCTTTTCAGAGGCACTCAGATACGACAGTTTACATGTCCCTCCAAACTGCCAATATCCCAAACCCCTCCTTTAACCTTTTGAGGGTCCGTCCCATAGTTCTACAGCTTTAAAGCCTGGGTCCAAGCTGTAGAACTGTGGCTTGAGCTCAGTTCACTCAGATAAGCTGTAAGCAGTAAATTTGGGCCTAGATATGAGAGAATACATCTATGTGGTAAGTGTGCACCACATCAAACAAATACTGCAGCACGCAACGCATAATGAGGAGAAAACCGAGACCATATTTTTGGATTAAAACAGTGACTTTGCAGTGTTTTTTTGTATGTTTTTTACAGTTGTATTTGTGATTTCTTGATCTCATAGATAGATAGAATGAAAGATATATTACAGAAATAGAGGTAATTTTGATTGGTTTTAGTACTGAAAATGGCTTGAAACTGAGCTCAAATTAGTGGAAATGTTCAATTTTTGCCAATGTTCAAGAGTAAACAAGTGATATCACGCATCTAATACACATCAGCTGGTGGGTCTAATATACGTTCGTGGATATGCTAATATTATTTATACAATTATTACAATATTGCATAACAGTAAATCTATTTTTTGGTGTGAATAAAAATTCATTATATGAATAAAAAATCAAAATGGAGTTCATTTGTAAAGCCTGAAAATGTAACTAATAAACAGAGGAAATGCTAGTTTAATGCCAGGAATGCCTGCATTGTTTATTCTGGACCCTATTTTGAAACTGGAATATTTTGAACTTGTGCTCAGTTGATAAAATAGAAGTAATACTAGCGAAATAGCTAAGAATTTGGTTGAATGGAATAATGTAATTGGCCTAAAATGGGAGTCAAAGTTGGCAAAATCGCAGATGCTGAAACAGCAAAATTTGTGAGAGCGTAATTTTGTCAATTTTCGATGAAATTTCATACTTTTTGTTTTATTACCTTAAGAAAAAGATTATCATTTCATAAGAAAAAATAACTAACATTTTTTTAAAAATTCTTGGACCCTGCCTGTCACTCTGAGATTTGGCCTCTGGACCTTCAAAGGGTTAAAGTGCAAGCATTGTACTTCCTATTTTCAACTTTTCATATAAATATATTCAGATGTACTTGTGTGTACATATATACTACATGTTATGTTTTTTTTTTTTTTTTAACAAACCGGCCATATCACACTGATGCAAGGTGACCTAAAAAGAAAAATTCACGTTTCTCTTTTTAAATTTAGTAATGTATATAGGAGAAGGGGTTACAAGCCCCTTGCTCCCATCATTTTAGTCGCCTCATACGACACGCATGGCTTACGGAGGAAGAATTCTGTTCCACTTCCCCATGGAGATAAGCGGAAATAAACAAGAACAAGAACTAGTAAGAAAATAGAAGGGAACCCGGGGGAGGGGGATGTATATATATGCTTGTACATGCAAGTGTAGTGTGACCTAAGTGTGAGTAGAAGTAGCAAGACGTACCTGAAATCTTGCATGTTTATGAAACAGAAAAATGACACCAGCAATCCTACCATCATGTAAAACAATTACAGGTTTCTGTTTCACTCTCACTTGGCAGGACAGTAGTACCTCCCTGGGCAGTTGCTGTCTACCAGTCTACTACGTAGGACTACATGTTATGTACAGTCGACCCTCAACTAACGGCGGCAATAAGTAACGGCATTTTCGTCTAACGGTGCTTTTTGCCATAGAAAAAAATGCCTTAACCGACGGCGAAAAACTTAACCAACAATGTTCGTCTGGAATATGGCCTGAGCGGGCCCAGCCACTTTAAGACTCAGTGTGCCATTGTTTACAAGCTGTTGTGGTCATTATCCACGTGTGCTTCCCATACATTTTGGATTATTCTACTGTTTCTAGTGCTTTTTTTTATTTATTTTATTATCACACTGGCCGATTCCCACCAAGGCAGGGTGGCCCGAAAAAGAAAAACTTTCACCATCATTCACTCCATCACTGTCTTGCCAGAAGGGTGCTTTACACTACAGTTTTTAAACTGCAACATTAACACCCCTCCTTCAGAGTGCAGGCACTGTACTTCCCATCTCCAGGACTCAAGTCCGGCCTGTGGGTTTCCCTGAATCCCTTCATAAATGTTACTTTGCTCACACTCCAACAGCACGTCAAGTATTAAAAACCATTTGTCTCCATTCACTCCTATCAAACACGCTCACGCATGCCTGCTGGAAGTCCAAGCCCCTCGCACACAAAACCTCCTTTACCCCCTCCCTCCAACCTTTCCTAGGCCGACCCCTACCCCGCCTTCCTTCCACTACAGACTGATACACTCTGAAGTCATTCTGTTTCGCTCCATTCTCTCTACATGTCCGAACCACCTCAACAACCATTCCTCAGCCCTCTGGACAACAGTTTTTGGTAATCCCGCACCTCCTCCTAACTTCCAAACTACAATTCTCTGCATTATATTCACACCACACATTGCCCTCAGACATGACATCTCCACTGCCTCCAGCCTTCTCCTCGCTGCAACATTCATCACCCACCTTCACACCCATATAAGAGCGCTGGTAAAACTATACTCTCATACATTCCCCTCTTTGCCTCAAGGACAAAGTTCTTTGTCTCCACAGACTCCTAAGTGCACCACTCAATCTTTTTCCCTCATCAATTCTATGATTCACCTCATCTTTCATAGACCCATCCGCTGACACGTCCACTCCCAATATCTGAATACATTCACCTCCTCCATACTCTCTCCCTCCAATCTGATATCCAATCTTTCATCACCTAATCTTTTTGTTATCCTCATAACCTTACTCTTTCCTGTATTCACCTTAATTTTCTTCTTTTGCACACCCTAACCAAATTCATCCACCAATCTCTGCAACTTCTCTTCAGAATCTCCCAAGAGCACAGTGTCATCAGCAAAGAGCAACTGTGACAACTCCCACTTTGTGTGTGATTCTTTATCTTTTAACTCCACGCCTCTTGCCAAGACCCTCGCATTTACTTCTCTTACAACCCCATCTATAAATATATTAAACAACCACGGTGACATCACACATCCTTGTCTAAGGCCTACTTTTACTGGGAAAAAATTTCCCTCTTTCCTACATACTCTAACTTGAGCCTCACTATCCTCGTAAAAACTCTTCACTGCTTTCAGTAACCTACCTCCTACACCATACACTTGCAACATCTGCCACATTGCCCCCCTATCCACCCTGTCATACGCCTTTTCCAAATCTAGTGCTTGTAACCACTAAATAAGCCACCATGGGCCCCAAGAAAGCTTCTAGAGCCAGCCCTTTGGTAAAGGATGTGAGAAATACGATAGAATTCAAGAAAAAGTTTGTAGAAAAATACGAATGTGGTGGTGGTAGAGGGTGGTAGTGATGGTGGTAGATGGTGATTCTGGTTGTGATGGTGGTAGAGGGTGGTCCAGTGATTCTCAAGCTGGTCCTAGTGGCATTAAAAAACCAAGAAGGGAGGTAACCCCACCAAAGGACTTGGTACCTGAAGTCTTTATGAAAGGGGATTCTCCTTCCAAGCAACAGACAATCCTGAATCTCCCCTGCTGCTGGCACATCACTTATCAACAACTCCACAATAAAGGAAAGTGGCATTTAATTATTGTTTATTTTGCATGTCCTGTTCCTTTCCATATAGGGAAATGTATATTATATGTAAAAAATTTTTTTTTTTTTCAGACTTTGGGGTGTCAGAAACGGATTAATTCTATTTCCATTATTTCTTATGGGGAAAATTAACTCGACCAACGACGAGCCCTCTGGAACGGATTAATGCCGTTGGTTGAGGGTCCACTGGATATGTATGAAATTTTACTTGTACATGTATACTCGAAATGGTTATGTATGTAGACATGCACAATAATCATGAACAAGTGATAAAAGATGCAAAATATCCAGGGTTGATTTGCAGTATACCAGTAAAGGAAGCCCCATTTAAAAGGGCGGGGTTTTAGGTTCCAGGCTACCCCCGTAAAGGGGAAAACCCGCGAAAAATTTGGAACCCCTTTTTTTTTTTCCACTTACAAAATGCATACAAACACTAGAAAAACAAATTTTACACAAACATATATTAAGTTGGGAAATAGAACCGGCATCAAAAAACAATAAAAAAGTACAATACAAAACGGGTTTGCACCATTACTTACCCTAAAATTTTATAGTTTTAAAATTAGGGTGAAAACCAAGTATTTTTTGTAAAAAATCAAGTTGGTATGATGGTATAAACCCCAGGCTCCCCAAACCAGGCCACCCCACCCACACATACAATTCTTTTTGATTTTTAAAAAGCACCCCAGACGATAAAATTTTATATACATTCACTAAAAAAACTTACCTTAAAATAAAGGGGGGAAAATGATATATTTATTGTAAAAAAATAAAGTGTGGTATGTTTTGGGAAGGCACCGGGCTCCCAAACCCGGGCCAAACCCACCTACACATAATATTCAATTACATTTAACCACCCCAAAGGGGCGATAAAATTTATATACATTTTCCCCTCATTACTTCCCCTTAAAAAATTTGTAGTCTTAATGTAGGGTCAGGAGTAAGTAAATGAGAAAAAACCCAAATAAATAGAGAGAAAAAAAAGAGTGCATGAGAGAGTACAAGTGCGATTTATGAAAAACAAACCAGGCGAAGGTAAGTTTTTGAAAACCGAAGTGTAAACGTCTGGTTTTTTACAATTTTACTTTGTTACGGGGTTGTCTCTACATTGATACGGTAGAATAAATAAA